GTTCGCTGACGGCCGGCACCGCCCTCTATTATTATATGTTTTAAACTTTATATATACAGTCTATGGTTTTAAACGGCATCATGTAAGTTGCGCTGACAGGCGACAGAGGTTCACAGTGTACCCCCCCCCCCGCCGCTGACAGTTCACGAGCGTCCATAGTGTCTCTCCACCCCCCGTTGACAGTTCACGCGTCGACATTGCATTTACATGTCCCACGGGCAGAGATGGGGTCGTTACTAAAAAAAAGTAATATATTACATATTACTTTAAAAAAAAGTAATATATTACATATTACTTTAAAAAAAAGTAATATATTACACTACTTCGTTACTCTCTCCATAAAGTAACTCGTTACTTTACTCGTTACTTTACTCGTTACTTTACTCGTTACTTTACTCGCAGGGCCGGCCCGCCCCTCCCTACAGGCAGATCACGCAGACTGCTAAAGTTTCAAATGTTCTCTTTAGTTCAGTTTCCATTGTCGCATAAGACTGATCCAGATAGCTCTGACTATGGCTGTCCTCTGTCTCCTGCTATCTGTATTTTGCGCAGTATATCTCTGAACGATGCGATGGTGATTCCACTGTGCAAATGGGCAACATTACCTCTACTATGAAGGATGCTACAAGCCTGTCCATCTCTGCTTTGGTTACCGGTCCTCCAAATTCTAATTTGTGCTGCTTCGGAGTCGGCGGCGGCGCACTCACAACATCCTCACTCTGGGTTCGGGGGTCCGGTCCTTAGCTATTAGCTTCACCTTAGCATGTGTTCTTTGCAGGTGTTTGTAGAGGTTTGACGTGGTGTTTGCAGCAGTGGATAACAGCTTCTGGCCTGGACACAGTTTGCACCTCACCGTCACATTCCTGTCTATTCTTCGGACCAACTCAAAATAATGGGCATACCTCCACCCCTCGAAAGTTATCGCTGACTCAGCCATGTTTATGCAGCACTGCGCGTGGAGATGTGGACGCGCAAGTCGCGCAGATTACGTACATATAAACCTGCGGCGGGGCAATGTTATGCCGCGTTTCCACTACACGGCCTCGCTCGGCCCCGCTCGGTATGGCTGGGCCTCGTTAGGACTGGCTCACTTTATGGCGCATTTCCATTACAGTTTAGGAACTGGGGCAGTATCTATAGTAACGCAGTGTAGGCGGAGCCGTGACGTGATCTTCAGAGGACCCCAGAAAAACAACACAGCCGTTAGCTGTTAGCACTCAGAGCTCACAGCTCCTCATATCTGTTCAGAAACTAGACAAAAGTTAAACAAGTACAAACCACAGACTGCCTGTGTCATGGTGAATACTGTCGCTGCTTTATTTATGTCTGTATAGGCCGTTGTTGTGAGTGTGGACGGTCGGAGCATATACTGCGTTAGCTTAGCCAATCTCCATTTAGAAAACACGCATTTTAAAAGGTTTTTCCCCTGCCGTCTGTCTGCAGACTTGACAAAGCATTAATTCATGGTTTTTACTAACCGGTATCAGTATGTTGTTACTTCATCATTTAGAAACGTGTATTACAATTAAATCACGGTCAAATATGTCCATCTTGTTGTAGTTGTTGCCCCCTTGCCAGCGACGCTCTCTCTAGTTTAGCATACTCAGCCCGACTCAGCCTCGTTGTCTCTGGCCCTAGACCCACGATTTTATGAGGCCAGAAAAACTGTGAATTAGGACCCGCCGGCCGGTACTAGGCCAAGTGGAAACGCAACCAAAGACGGGCCGCTGACGTCACAGCCCTCTTAAACCGTGCTGCGGGCTGTAGTGGAAACGCGCCATTAGTAACTAGTGTGATTACTGAATTATAAAAGTAACGCATTACACTACTCCGTTACCGACAAAAGTAATATTATTACAGTAACGCGTTACAAAGTAACGTGTTACAAAGTAACGCGTTACACCCAACTCTGCCCACGGGCCACATTGTCCCACACAAACATACTCTAGAGCAGAAGTGGCTTGATGTTGTTCTCAGCAGGGGACTTTGACAGAGGATTTCTCAAAAAGTAAAGAGTCAAATTACTTCAATGTATTGTAGTAGTAGGCTAACTAATACAAAGTCAAACAGTATCAATTTCATTAAGAACTAATGGTAAAATTGTCTTTTTATCACTCATCAAAGATAGCAGATAAACATACATTATGTAGGCTACTATGGAGGGGACTCTGACAGAGGATTACTCACAAAGTACACAGTAAAAGTACTTCATTTCATTTCTGGTAGCAGTCAAACTAGTACCGAGTCCAACAGTGTCAGTTTTATTAAGAACTTTTGGTAAAAAACTACACACACACACACAGAGACACACACACACACACACACACACACAGAGACACACACACAGAGACACACACACACACACACACACACACACAGAGACACACACACACAGAGACACACACACAGAGACACACACACACACACACACACACAGAGACACACACACACACACACAGAGACACACACAACACACACACACAGAGACACACACACACAC